CGCCGTACCTGCTGTACCAGACCAGACCATGCCAGACCATCGATAGCTACCATACCTGGAGCAAGTTTGGTACGGTATCTAACTTTACACATCTCTTACCATACCATGCCTAAGTTCTCACCCGCACCTGCCTCACATCACGCAACCTCTTAAGTAAAGCAAGAGCGAACCGCATTTCCTGCCGCAGATAGTTTAGCTCTTCACGCCTTACTTAAGATCTGCCCTCCCTGCTGTTCCTTTGCCCCTCTCCCAAAAAGGCAGGCCGCGATACCTCACCTCGGTCTCGCTGCTTTCTTTATATGCCGTTGCGTGACTCTCTTGCTAGGCTGTCTTATATCAAGAGCCGATGTCTGGTGTTTTCTTGATAGCCGGGCAACTTCAACGCATTTGTCAACGCTTGGCAACCGAAAACTCACCGCAGCGACAAGCCGCTGCTCCGGGTTGCCCTGGTCTGTCTGGCTGTCTTCCCTGGCCTACCCACCCTCCGCATGGCATGGCATGGCCACTCCTCCTACCTCCCTGGGTCCAGAATGATTTCTCGGGACCGTCAAGTCACTCCACGTCTTGTCTCACTCAGCAAGGTCAATGCCGGCTGGCTTCCTTATGACGCCACGCACCCCCAGGTTAGCGCAGCAGCAGGGCAGTGGGGACCGAGCGCTGGACAACCCCCATTGCTGGTCTAGTCTGGCACTGGATTATTGGTTTTCTTTTCTTTTGCTTCCACATGCTACAGTACCGTGCGTAGCAATCGTCTCCAGGTTCTGCAACACCGCGAACATCATCGAGGTGGAGAACACCCAAATCTCTTCTCAGAAGACCTCCTATCCAGTGATGCACCGGCGATGCCCGTACCCCTGAAGACTGTCTCTCCTCAGCTGTAAGAAATCTGGGGGATATGACCCTCTTGACCCTCTTGTTGCGGATACAGCGCTTCGGTTTGTTCCCTCAAGCAGCCGGCAGGCATACCAGGAAAAGACACCCACAATCGGTCCAGCTCCAAAACGGCACGATTCCGACCGCATATGTGGCAGGGTGTTGTTTGCTAGAGACTAATTTTACTATTATCAGAACAAACGCCTGGCTGTCGCGAGGCGGTATCCCCTGGAGCTCAGCCTATCCAGTACCGGTTTAGGGCAGAAGTGAGCAGCCGCAATGCCCATTTTGGCTTGCTTTCCCGAGTCCAGCATCCACCCGAGTTTACTTATAGCAGTCTTTTTAAACGAAAGTGGCCGTGTTCCCTGTCGTGGGGTCCAAGTCTAACTTCATGGCAGCCAAATTACAGGGCAGTCTCTAACATCACAGTGTGCTGCGTCCACCCGCATTGAAAAGGAGCTGGCTGTTATGACTTGTCGTTGGAATAACAGATACTCCTGTGTTTCCGTTCTGCCCGCTGGAACAACGGGGAGTTGCCGTTGGCTCCGCACACACTGGCAAGGGGAGCTGAGAGAGTGTGAGACGGCAATGAGGTTCACAAAAACCCCTCCCTGTCTCTGATACACTCAGCGAATTGGCGGCAGGCAGGGCACCTTACAACTGCTGATAGGGCTTTTCATCACTACCATCAACATTCTCTTGACACAATGCACCATGATCAGCTTGCAATCAGATTTTTTCCTACTGCGAGTTGCGCACCCTGAAAAACCACCTGGAAAAGGAAAATGCCGTTTATCCGCGAACGGGGTCCTTACAGAAGCGAGGGATCAAATCGCTGATATGATCTATCATTTTTTCCCGTCCAGGTATTTCCAAGTGGGTCCGGCTTAACTTGGTGGTTTGAAGCCTCACGCTCGGCATCCTTTCCCTCCTCCTGCTCATCCTCAAGCAGGAAGCAAATCGGGGAAGTAATAGAGGTGGCAGGGAATGAGTTCCTTCTGTCACCCCCACGCAACATGTCGAGGGGGAACAAGATCGTCCTGAACAAATAATTCGCCCGGATGTATTTCGCGTGCGGCTTCCTTGATGAAGGAGCGCATCCTCGACTCACATGATCCAATCTTATTTGCTTAAGCACGGGGGCATCGTGTTCGGGTCACTCATTTGATTCAAGGCACGTCTCATTTGGTGCACTTGTGCGGCCTACCGCTCCGATATGCGGACAGGCAAAGGCGGACGGCTTGTCGGTCTGCCCACTTTTGATACAACATCGGTACATGACAGTCAGTCATATCAACAGCCAAGGCGCGCACGAGCAAAGTGAGACATGACATCACAAAAACGCTAGCTGAGGTCGAGCAGACAGCTTGTCAAGTTTGATGCAGACTCCCGACAATTGCGCTTCGTCTCTATTCGCTGGTCAAATCTCATCATCTCAATGGTGTCCACCAATTGCAGCAAGATCGCAACACTTCATCCAGACAGATGATTGTTGAATGTGTCGTTACCTGTTGGAAGATGGGATAATCGCTGTTCGCGATCGGTTGGACAATGTCCTGACCTCTGAATCGATTGACTCAGCGGCGCCGCAGTTTAAGCTATTCCACCCAACCGTCCGTGCCAGCCCAGTCCAGATCAGCCAGGGCTGGCTACAAGGCGAAAATTGTCCTCAATGTCCCAGCATCAAGCCGCCAGGTGGACGGAGGATAAAATTAAATCTTCCCACTGGTCTCTGTCGACGTTCAGCTGCAGTGTGACCCTCAAATAGGCGTCTGCCGCAGCCCAAGTCTGTGCTTTGATTGGGCACAGCCAGCTTGTCGATCGGGTCCCTCGCAGGCCCCTCGCAGGGTGAACCACAGCCCTGGGAACGAATAAGATGCTCCCCTCCCGTGCAGCGATGCAACGTCGTTACCGGGTTGTATTCGCTAAGGTACCCTCACTCACTTACACGCATGTACACCGCCATACGCCAGCACATGCGTCACCATTTCGAACTCGCTTGTGTTGCATTATTTTCCTCGACCAGAGAGACACACACTTGCACAACTGCATGGTCGCGCAAACTACATTTCGTGGCATGCTCACACTGGCCGATGAGACATTCCCGTCGGAAGTGAACGGCCGAGGTCACACCAATTCGGCTGGTTGCCTCATCAGACAGCGAGATATCTTGTTACATGTTGATGGTAGCAAAGTGTCGGACACGACCGGCTAACTGTCAAACTCAGATTAGCAGAGTCGCATGCATGTCGCACGTTGTGTCTTCATCCCTTGGTTGTTTTGATCCAGAGCATCTACAGGGCATCGTTGCCATCTCGGCTCATTCGTGTCGATCACAGAGGGGTACAATATCCACGTTCAAAAGTCCTTTACAGACAAGGCTCACAGCGTGCCGTCTCCAATTTCGTCCAAGATATTGCTTTTGAATTTCTAGGTTCGACTAAAGCTAGACTCAGCTAATAATTAGCTTGAACAGGTGTGCAAAGCGACTGCTCCAAGTCTTCCGGCAAGCCCAGTAAATTAAATTATAGAAGCCCATTGTCACTCGAAGTTGAGGAGGTTGGGGTTGCTACCTCCTGCAAGAGAGAGGCTGAGAGATGATCGACCTGCAGCCAACCCCACGTAATTCGGTAGTCACTTACTGGCATGTACTCAAACGGAGGAAAAGAACGAAACAAGAACTCATGGGTTGGGGATGGCTCCGTTCCTTTGTCTCTCGCCCCTCTCATTAGGGCGCATACCAGCTCAGTCTAAGTTCTTAGGTGCTTTAGCACGCACATGCATACAATAGCCCCAGGTGGAGGACATTAGCCCGGCCGAAAGTTGTCAGTCACGAGATCTGCAAAGCTACACCTGCATCTTGAATAGCACGCGCAGCTTAGGCTCGGAGCTGGAGGCTGGCGATACAGCGTCCGGTGCCAGCCGCCCCATTCATCTTTATTTGTCGAACCCTATTTTACGGACTCTCCTCGGGAGCAAGGATACGATCAGCCGGAGAGCTACTGTTATTTGCTGCAGTGCTGCTTCTGTTGCTGCATGGGATGAGGAGGATGGACGAAAAAGCAAGTAACTTCACGGACCATTTGCCTTGTGGGGACACCCGATATCACCGAGGCTTGCAAATGCAAGGAGGGCAGCGCCACGTTAGTTTCGTGCGCAAGGACTCTGTTTGATTCTGGAGGCTGGACTCAGTGGTCTCTCACATGTCTTACCTCATGACTTGTCTTGCTTAGGGAAAGTTTGTTTGCCCTAAACATCACCGTACGAATGAGGTTGACAAGCAAGGGCTCACGATACGTGGAAGGACCCTGCTCTCTAGCTGCCCCGCGCACCCGAGACAGACAGGAGATTGATAGGCTTGCCAAAAGAAAAACGAGGAGGCAACCAAAGTCAGCTTTTACCATCTGGACGGTTCTCTTGCTGTCACACGACATGCGAGACAAAAGACAATGGCAGTTGAAGACGGCAAGTGCCTTCGCAGGAATTCGACGATGCTGTGGTTTGCCTTCTCAAGCTGTCATTGTTTGAAGAGAGAGGGCCTTTCACGAATAGGCACACTCTCCGTTCCCGTGACTGGCCGGTCTCTGCTGTGTTCCATGCATGGCCAGTATTGTAACACCTGACTTGAATCACACCACCCTCAGCGATCCTACAGCTGAGACATGCCTTATTGACAGAGAATTGGGACAAGGAGAAACAAATTTGGGTATCCAATTTACGTGCCATGTCTCTTTTCGGAGATCATGACGATGGTATCTGATCTTCTTATTTCGCGCGCCAGGAGGGTGTCAACCAAGAAGCAATTTAAGTCCAGATCGGCTTTCAAACAAGTGCATGCCAATCATTAAGGCATTCTATACCAAGCAGAACCCTGCGCCAACTCCATCCGAGGTGATTGCTTTGGAAATATGGCCTGGTCCCATGACCTCAAAACTTGAGGAAGTGAAGAAACGCTGAGAAACTCGTGCCTCCCTAGTATACAAAAGATCCGTCATCAAACTACGGGACAATATCGGTGGTCCTTACCCGACGGTGTGACAATCTAGTCAAGTGATCTAGATGAGTCTGTCGCCATCTGATACCTCTGACTTCGCCTCGTCGATCGCCCTACATCATGCAAGGAATTCTTATCGGATGCTCTTCTCGATCTTCACCAGCAACTTTCCATCGCTCGGGTTACCCTTTGCGTCTAAAAGGTTGATGAAGCGGTACCCTGGCTGAAGGCGGTCAAGGCGGATGCATGCCCAAGCTGCAAGCTCGCCAACCGGCAGGAATTTGGACTCATCTTCGATCTTGAACCTATAGCATTTGTTTCCACGGTCAGCGAGCTTTCCCAAATCTGTACATAATGCAGGATGGGAATGGGACTACTGATGAAGATAGCGGGACAGGGTGCAAACGCCCAGCCTATCAAGTGACCTTTGGGGATCGTCAAGATAAGCGGTCAACGAATATGCCCGTAAAGCTTCGGGAAATGTCTGAGAACTGACGGGTGATGGAGGGCAGCCTTCCGGCGTCTGCGGGAGACGTCCGCTTGGAGATGACACACAGCAAAAAGGCTTGGCTAACCGCACTCTGGAGGGCGGCGCGTTGCACTTGACAACTCAAGCCGCAGTTTCCTCCCGTTCACGTCATTTCCGCTCACGCATCCGGAGGCTGAAAGACAATGGCCAGACAGGTGTAGGAAACCGCCTAGTGTCGGGGATCAACAGCACGGAGGCGGTCAGGGCCGACGCCATGCTCCAGGCGAATACGCGCTCTCATTGGCAGGGTACGGCACCCGGAGCAGGGCAGTGCCTTCATGGATGGGCGGGACGATATTGCAAAAGGACATGGAAAAAGCAACTTTCTTACCTTACGAAGCTGAGCTCCTCCACCACCTTTGGAATGTTGCAGAAGTCGAGCACCATGCCCTTGCCAAAGTCCGGGTTGTTCGTCTCCCGGCTCTTCGTCTTCTGCTTGTACTGGCCCTCGCGTGCGCGGCCTCCACCCTCTATCGCCCTCCCTGCACGCTCTTCATCCTTCTCGACGTGCAGCTCGCACTTGACATACGGGCGGAAGTCAGCTCCACTGACGCCGCTGACGTTGAGGCTTTTTGTACTGTTGTTGGTGCTGCTCTCGGGCAGAGGTATGTGCTGCCCGGCGAGTACCGTGATCCTAAGGTTCAATGTCCGATGGGGGTGTGCTTCAGCTTGCGAAGTTGACGTGTCACTGCTCAGATAGCCTGTGGGCTTGAGAACCCAGCCTTTTTCTGAATCAAACATGGCTGTGTTGAGCATCATTCCCTCGTCCCATTTCTGCCAGTTCAAAGCAACCATCTGGACGCCTTTTCGCCAATATAGCGAGGGATCGAGATTGGAAGAGTCAACTCGGAACGAATGCGGGTAAGCTCGCATGAAATAATCGCGATTATGTGTGAACATCTCCTTGTGTTTCGATTGATGAAGTTCCAGGATTTTATTCTCATTGATCGAGAAGATATGCGACGGCGTTTTTGCCGACATTGTGTCGAATCGCTTGAAGTGCTCGCTGTGGGTATAGATTGCGAGGTTGCTGAGACTTTCACAGATAGGAACCTTACGGCTCTTCGCCTCTGGCGACAACTCGTCCTCGGAGCCCTCTTCTTCCAGGGATGATATGGTGGGGAGCGAGAGCTGTGTGCCTTTGGGCACACTCGCCTTCGCAGGGGTCTTCTTCACCTTGATGAGGATTTTGTCAAGGAGTTCATCGAGCCTGGGCTGCCGTGCTTTTGGATCGCAAGCATCAAAGGGCTCGTCGAGGAGAAGACCCTCCCACTCCTCCTTCATGATATCTACCATGAGTTCTTGTTGGTCCGGGTCCGCGTGGACCTCTAAGCTAACGATGATGGGCAGATGGTTGTTATTTGTGAAGGCCGTCTCTCTAATGGCTTGGCAGACCTCTCTGAAGGGGACCGAGTTCATCAAAGATACGTTGCCTGCGCCAGGCACTTTAGTTGCGTGAGTGACGATAGGCTCGTGCTTATGGGCATTGTGCTTCGATTTCGACCTCGATCTACCTCTTGAACCCGACCCTGAGGACGTCCTTGGTCTTCCGAGTCGTTCATTGATTGCGTTAGGGTCTAGACATGTGCCACTGTCCCTGGCTGGTGTAGAGAGCTTGACCTGGCTGCCATCCGGGCTTCTACTATGGTGATGATTCGGGCGGCCTGATAGTTTATGCCACTTCTCGTCCACCGACTCAATAACGGCCACTGCGGCGGCAGGGAGTGATGACGATGAGAGGTGTCTTCTGTGATCGTGTGGTGACTTTGATCTATTCGGTGTCCTAGACCCTGACACATCTCCATTCCATACATCGATTTCGATACATCTGCAGTCGGCCCGGAGAACCTATAGAACATGATTAGCCCAGATGTCCAGATCTCTCATGATGTTCCTTGAACTTGCCTTTCTGTACGCATCCGCCGAGTTCTCGCCGTACAGCTGATTTCCCATGGCGTAGGTGTTATGGCTACTGCTTATGAAGTAGTTCGAGATTGGCTTCGACAGGTCCTTCTCCCCACACTCGATCCGGCGTACAGCGCTGCGGTAGTTGATATACCAGACCTGCAGGAACTGCTCAAAGTTGTACTTTTCCAGCTCCAGCGGCGCGACCAGCCCGCCCTGCGTGGTGTTCAGGAAGGCCTCGAACTTGTCGCGGGACAGCAGCGGGGTGGAGCGGAAGCTCAGGCCGCACAGCTCGCTGAACATGCGCTCGAGCTTGCTCCGCACGGCGGGCATCAGCGGGGGCAGCTTGTGGTTGAGGCCGGTGAGGGTGGGCCCGCGGCCGTTGACATCGCGGTGGAAGCCGCCGTCGGTCGGGCTGAAGAGGGTGGTGGTGTCGACGAGGCGGCGGAAGACGGAGAGGCTGTGCTGCGGCCTCTTGAACGAGGGCATCGTGGGCCGCCGGAAGATCTTTCTGCGGCGGCGGGAGGAATGGCCCTGCGTAAGGGGGATGGGGTGTCAGCGTTGGATTCTCTTCGAGCAGGCTTCCTGTCTCTTTGTTCTCGGTCGTGTAAGTGAGCGAGCCTTGTAGTTGAGATACCCGGCTAGGCTCTTCACTTGCACAGCAACAAAGAACAGAACTGTTCATTTGCAGGGACACAGCAACTCACGAAGCAGCCCATCGCGGCAACGCGTCTCTCGCTCCCCTGAGAGGGAGGATCGGCAGGATGTGGTTTATGCTGGACCTGGCTGGGACCGTTTCATGCGGCGAGTGCGGGTGCGGGTGCGGCTGCCGTTGGGCGGAGGGGACATCGGGGGCTACCTAACGCGCAGGACGGCCATGGAATCGAGACGACACGGGTTTTCTGGTGATTTCCAGGACCTGGATCGATTGTTCGAACGGAGTAGAGTCTGTAGATTGTACGATTGAAAGGAAGAACAACCGGTTCGAGAGAAAGATGTCAGCAATGGGAATTTGGCCAGGGAGGGACATAGACGAGTTCAGCTCGGTCCCCAAGCCTCGCCCCGCGTGCGGGAAGGGCCTAGGACCCAGTAGGTGCTTGATTAGCGGGTGGCAGCCAAGCAACGCAGCCAGGCCAATCCCCTAGTTGGGTAAGTTGGTAGGGCGATCCGTGCCGCGACAAGTATAGAAAATCCCAAACTCTACCTAAGTTGAGCAACATCGGTCACCCAAAAAGATGGCCCCGGTGACTCGGTTCAGGGACAATACAAAATAAAAAAAGGACGACACCCTCTTTTTGATACGATGTGATGTGGAGATAATACGAATGAGCATACACACAAAACTGGATTTTCCACGAGTTTGAAAGAGTCAGTTGAGAGATTTGAGGCAGCCTTCGTGATGTAATTCTGCCCTTGTTCGTCATCTGTCTCTCGGTAAACCAGCGATCGGGGCTCTTCACTTATGGGCATTTGGAATGGAGCCTCCTCTCTCGATGTACTACACTAAACTGTTCTACGCTACCGAGACAAGCGAATCCACCCAGATGAACAGTAGCCTTGAAATGATGCTACCCTCTGCCCTCTGCCCTAGGCCAAGTTGGCATCTGCCCCGAACTCCAGGGCTGCAGAGACGGTAACACCGACTGTGGCTGAGGGCTGTGTTTTTATCCTCTCTCTGTGCTGGCAATTGGAGGCAAGAGACATCGCCCTATAGGATGCAATTGGGCCCCCAATTTCAGTGTGCCGGGCGAATAGACGGTTGCGATGGGATGAACGGTCATTGGGGCTGACAATTGAGCCGATGGTGCTCTGTGTCGTGCCCACTCTCTTCCCCTTGGGCCTCTGAGCAATTGTGTGGTGCTGTTGCGGTTGTCTTCTCTTCACTTCTATGCGCATCGCATGTGATGAGTGTTGGGGGCCAAAAACTGATATGATGTCCAATCCACCCCTTCCCATCACATCCATCCACAATCCATCGCCCAAACAATGGAGCACTTGGAAGACGGAGTAGGGACGGATGGCCGTTAATGGCGATAGATTCCCGTCTCTCTTATTAACAGCTGACCGAGCGTCTTCTATTTTCAGGCCATTGGGGAAATGATATCTGACGCAGCACTGATATGTCCCCCCTGCGATTTCTTGTCTCTGATCTCCCAGCGCCAGTCATCCGTACCTTAGACTCTGCCAGAGAGATCTGAGACCCATCCACCCATCCATCCAATCCATCCATCGCCCTACACTACGCGCAGGAGCCAGCAGCCAGCAGCCAGCC